AACCCTAGAGACATTACATCATTCTGGTACAAGCAATCAAATCAGAAAGTAAACTCTGAGAATCTGATCGATCCGATCATGCAGAAAATCCGTCAATTCCTTTCCAACCACAGTTGAAGACAGCTATTCTGCTAGAATAGAATACCTTCAATTTATAAATAACACTCATCCAAATAGTTATCAGTTTTTAATCCATCTATCTAAGCTGATATATATCAGTTTTAATTTATTGTGGCATATTCAAGGCTTATGTACTCTACATACTTACTATACATGTAAATACTATATAATTTATAAATATTTAAAAACTTGTATAAGTTCGTTTAGTATTAAGTTAGGTTTAAATCATTAAGCTTTATGGGGTTTTTTTTTTTTTTTGTTTCATTTTTCCCGCTTTACACTGTCGATTGTTGTTAACCATTTTTATTTCTTCATTTTGCTTAATTAAGTAGAAAATGCTAAGCTGCCTGAACTCTTAACATTAAAATATCCTTACCTCACTTGTTAATTCATAATGTTTTTAAGAAATGTTTGTTAGAAAAGCTTACTATTATGCCAACTTCGACATAGGGTTTTCCTTCCAATATCACAAATTTAATGGGACTAAGAGAGGGACAATCTGTAGTGCCTGTTTTATTTCGCACACTACCCCCAAAGTTATTCTTTTGAAAAGGCAAGACCTTTTACATTGATAGTAAAAATATAACTCCCAATTTGAATAAGATTTAAAATCAGCAGAGAAAAGAAATGTATTTCTATACGTTTCTATACCCTATAATGAATGGGTGCAAGGGCATACTAGTTTAGAGACATATTGTTTTTAATGCCTTTAAACATTGTATAGAAATAAGTTGCAGTTGGTCTGTTAAAACCTTTAAAAAATTTCAACGAAAGCGAAAAGATAGTTTTTAATGCTGCTTTATACGTCTAATAGCAACTGGTGGGTTAAGTTTTTAAAAAACTTCTATAAAATTACATAGAAATTGTTTTAAAAAAAAACAACTATGTACTTACTAAGTTAGCAATGAAATCCTCCTTAATTAGTGTGCCTTTCATAAATTTTATTTTAGTCTATAAGCCTTATGTTAATTGGCTGATTAAAGCACATTGTAATAATTTGTATTTGTAATAATAAATATTAAGTCATAATTTTTGTTGTAATTAGCTTTTAAAAATTATTTGACTAATAATAAACAGCCATGCTAAGCACTTTAAAAGGTGTATACATATGTATGTATATACTGAGTGTCGAAATTAGAGTCGTAACATTTATATTAAATAACATTTGATAATTTGAAAGAATTCATTTTGGCGCACCAATCAAAGAAAAATGTTAAACAAAGTCACTCCACTCCCCAGCCCACTCGTTCGTTTGTTCGCGCTCAAAGCCCATTCCACTCAGCTAAGCCAAAAACAAGACAAACAAACACACACACACTCACGTGTACATACAATATGCACACACGAGCAATCGTTAAATTTTGGGCAAAAATGTGACACACACATACAAGCATACACATATGCTGATACAAAAACATCGCTTGGCTTTGCTATTGCTCTGTTGTTGTTTTAGCCTTTGCTCGGCCGACGCGACGCTGTCGGTGCCGCTGCTGCTGCCGCGTTTGTTGCTGCTGCTACTCTGAGCTGCGCATAGGAATTTCGGCTAAAGTGCCGTCGGCGTCGGGCGACGCATTGTTGGTTGCCACTGCTTGCTGATTGCCGAAATTTTTTGAGTGGAACAAGCGCTGCCGCTGCCTGCGTTAACGCTGCCACTGCCACAGCCGTCGTTGTCGTCGCCGTCGTCGCTGCGCATCGTCGCAACATTTTTCAGCAGTCGCCGTTTAGTGTCTAAAAACGTTCCTAACCGTAAGCAACGCAGCGTCGTGAACTCAGCTCTTGCGTATTAATGCCAGAAAAATATTCAACAAAAAGAAAATCATTAATATTATACGCATAGCAATTTTTTGTTCTGTTCTGTTTTTTTTTTGGCAAATATAGTTGAAGTTTTTATTACAACAACAACAAGATGACGGCGTGCTCTTTCGCGAAAATGTTCAAGCACAGTGCCGCGCGTTGTCGTTAGAAAAAAATTTTCACGTGCGCGTTTTTCGTCGACGTCGCGTCGCCTGCAAATAATTAGAATATCCCAACAATAACAACAAACTACAAATATAGTTTTTATTTTCAGCCGATTCCTAAAGCTATTTTGTTGCTATTATTGCTGTTGCTCTTTTTCGTGGCATATTTCTGACTTAATTCGTTACCTTTTTCTACATTATTAGTTGTGTGTATGCATGTGTGTGTGTGTGCACTGTGTGTTGGCATGTGTGTGTGCACTGTGTGTTGGCATGTGTGAGTGTGTGTGTGTGTGCACTCGTTTGCCGACGCAACTTCACTGTTTTTTTTCCTCTTTTCTTTGTGTTTTTACAACACTCAAAGAAAGAAAAAACGGCAGCAACAACAAAAATTATGGCAGCAACATATTTCGGCGTAATTCATTATTGTAGTTTATTAAATGTTTTTTCATTCCATTCTATATGGTTTGTTGCTATTTTTAAACATTCTAAGCAAACGCGTGCCACGGTTGAGTCTAAAACCAATAATGGAAATAAAATCAAACACAATTAACTAAAAACAAACACGAAAGAAAATTGAAGAATTTCCGCTGTGCCACTTTTTTTTCTGTGCTTTTTAATCCCAGAAGGACATTCGAAATTTTTACATATTTTTTTAAATTTCTTGAATAAAGCCAACAAGCAACAACAACGAAGAAAACAATGTTGCAGTAATCAACCAATTAAAGTGTGTAGTGAAGTCATATACAGGGTGTCCCATTTTTTGACGTATCCTTGGCGAGCCTCATTGAAGCAATAGCCGATAGAGAGTAACAACAACACACTCTGAACATCTTGCGTAAAACCTTCTCTTCAACAAGCTCCAAAAATACAGGACATCCCTATCTGAATTATTGCAACAAGTTGTTGGGCGGCTGGCCTGTATCGGCATTACTTTTTGCGAACAAATCTGCTTCAATTCTCGCATAGAAATTTCCATTATTTTGAGAGTAGTTGGGAGGGGTAAATAAATAAGTGTTTGGGTTTCGAGCTTCTTCCTAACATCTTGAAATCGAAGTACGAAATGTGTTTCCTACATCGATTCAAGTTCTTGTTATATCTTGAAATTTAAAAAGCGTTAAATTACAATTAAGCGCGCTGTGCAAAGTCAAATAAAATAAATATACAAAAAAATACAACAACAACAAATTGTACAAAATCAAAACAGCAAAAGAAACGACATTTTTTTAAGGCACTCTCTGACATCATCTGCGAAACGTAGCGCGGCGCGGTGCTGAGCAAATTTACAACAACAACAAAGCAACAGCAGCAGTATAGCAGCAGCAACAAATAACGAATATTAAAAAAAAAAAAAAAAAAGTAAGCAATTTTTTAAAATGTTGGGAAAAATAAAAATTGTGCAAATATTTATTGGCCCTAGATTTTTTGTGATGCGCAACATTTCCCCATTTTTGGGCACATTTTATAATACATACATAAATACAAACATACATATGTGCCATATGCGAATTTTCTATTTTGCTTTGCTTCGCCTTGCCTTACCCACACACGCATGCTTATTCACCACACAAAAACACACAAAAATGCCAACAACAAAAACAATTCCCAATTTCAACACCAACACACGCCAGCACATGGGGCCCCAAGATCAAAGTCAACACTCACTCACACACACATGACAGTGGGGAGCAACGAGTGAGCAAGTCGTGAGTGTAAATTGGCGATTTCTAATGCGTTCCGTACGCTCACGCGTCGCAGTTGGAGCGCGCCCACTCTACAGCGACTGCGGCTTCGCGCTCACTCACTGGTTCGGTGACGAAAGCAATATGCATATACCCGTATGTCTGTATTAGAGATGGGCATGAGTCGTGTTTTTTTATTCGTAGCCCATTATGGCACTGATTGATTCGAAAGAATTGAAATTGAAAGAAAACCCCTAATAATTATTTGAGAAAACTTTTTTTTGTGGATATGTAATTTTTCGGTTAAAAGCAGTCATGTTTTAAAAGCTGAACATGGAATCAAATTAATTATGAATTAATAGTTGAAAATGGACAATGAGTTCGATGATTCCGCCCGTTTGTTCTAATTTTTAAAGATACAATTTTTTTTTCATTCATAAATGGATATTTTTACCCCAAACAATGAATTTATGGTGGCATTGCTATTTAAGCAAAATGTACATTTGATTTTCCTCTTTTATGCGTACACGTGAGTGCTTATGTCCATTTGGTCCCCAGGCCCCCATCTCTAGTCAGTGTGCTTAAGTGTACATATGTGTTTATGTGCTTATTACTGGTTGGCAACGCATTGGCCGGCGAATGGCGATCGTTGCAACAGCTGTTGCTGCACATACCATGCATACACCCACCCACCCACAGAGAGGGTGGCGACGAGTCGTGATTTGCCGCTTAACCGTTTAACGGGGAATTTGAATAATGTGTGACGTTTTCTCACGCTGCCGCCGGCCCTTAAGCAGTCGCTGTGCTGCTTCTTTTGTTATATTTGTGTGGGACACGAAAGTGTGTGTGTGTGTGTGTGTGTGCGTCTGTGTTGCTATGTGGCCTTGCCAGTCAGTCTGTCCGCCACATTTTATTCTCGCCTTTTATTTTTTGTGTGCTAATAATTAAAAAATGCGAAAACGTAACGCGAAATAGAATATGAAAATTGTTTAAATAAATATGTGCACATTGTAGAGGGGGGGCCTGATGATAATGTGAGATGGGTTGGTTAGGTTAGGTGTTAGGTAGGCAGAGCAAGAAAATATGTTGCAGGGATTTGTGCAATTAACCCATTATGAGTTTTGAGATGTGATTTGATGGCTTATGGTCAATAATTTGGAAAGCTTTCTTCCTACCATTGAAAAGCGATTATATTATCGCAATTAAATTAAATTAAAATTTCGTTCTTTCTGTTTCATTTTAGGTTTACTTTTTGGCCAAATTGACACTGAAAACATTTCGTTTCGATTCAGACAGCATTTTAACGCATCTCAATATATAATAATATATCAACAGTCTAGACGAAACGAATAATCAAAGTTTCGATAAAGCCACACAATTTTAACATAATAACAACAAGAACAACAACAAAACAAAAACAACGAAGCCAAGCAAAATCAAATCGCAGGAGCCGTCAGTCCGGAAAAATAAAAATCAAAGCAAAATAAAACGAAAAGCATGCATAAGCAGTAAAACATTTTCGGCTTCACGCTAACCGCTAAATTTTTGCAACAGGGCCCCAAAAAACAAAAATCAAATCTTTCAACAAAATCACCCAAGACGACACCAAACCAAGTCAAATCAAGTCAAGCCAAGCAGAGCCGAACACGGCCAAAGGACATGAGTCAAAATTGAACTGAACTGAACGCCAAAATTCTGCAGCAAAAGCGAAAAACTTTTTTGAAGCATTCCAAAAAACAAAAACAAAACATAAAACAAACGCAACCATAACAGCAAAATCAACCAGCTCTTTAAATTAAACCAAGTTTTTTAAACAAAACAAACGCAGAAATAACAACAAAATACTTTTTCGAAACTCTCTGAAACCGAAATTTAGAAGTGTATTCAAAAAGGAGAAGTAAGAATATTAATAAGTGGTTAACAAAATAACAACAAAAACATAGCGCAACAGAATTTGTTTGATTTTTTCTTTCGCACAAAATCAAACCGAACGCGTGCCCCAAAACAGTCCGAACACAATTATTTTGAGCGCGTCACACAGTCGTCCCAATAAAAACCAACAAACCACAACAATAACAACCACAATCAAAACAACAACCACAGCAAGCAACAACAGTCTAAAGATGGCGTCCGAATTGGATCAATTTGCTGACTTGGAATTATCGAAAGAGGATCGTGAACAAATTTTTGATCCGCCACTGGATCGACAGCAACTGGAAGGTGCTGGCACCTCAAGGTATTTATTGCATCCATCCATTAATATATATAAAAAGAACAAGAAACGAAAAATGAAAAAACAAGAAGAGAAAAAGATATATGTTCTACCCACCCACCCACTACTACTACCACCACCTCAGTAACCTATAAAAAAACCTTTATTTACGTATGACATTTATCATTATTTTCACATACTGTGTTCCACCACACACATTATTATACCTATTCTACGAGTATACATATATATCTTTATATAGTAGTAGCTACATAAATATAGCTTATATATAGTAGTATCTCGATCACCTCTCTCTGTATGTCTGTGTAACTAACTGTTGTGCTGCTAAAAGAAACTCATCTAAGCTTATATAGCCGCTAACCCAAACCTTAATCGTTACGATTCTCTGACCATATATTCTCACCATATATTCTAAGTTCTTCATGCATCTAAAATGAACTAAACGTTTTTGCGATACTTTTCCTTTTGTCGATCCCCAAAACCGATAATGGTAATGTGGTATCAGGGGGTTTGATTATCATTCCTTAACTCCAATTGAAAATAAGTCTAATCAGTGGGGGACTAGAATGCTTATGAAGTCCACAGATCTTAAATAAAACCAAATTAGAAATGCATTAAAACAATTAATATTAGCAATTCCTTAAGCTCAACTCGTAAGAAACGACCAGAGCTATAATTTCTTTAGATCCAATTGGATCGCATCTATTATATTGGAAAGTAGTGACCAGTTAGCGATCGTAGAGATTAGAAGTAGTTCCGATCGATGAGGGGCCCACCCACTGAACGTATTTCGAGAGCAACAACCACAATTGCTAATTGGCTCAATGGCCAAAAACCGTGACTCGCTTAATCAAAGCTATTTCCTACACATCAGGACCAACACTCAAAATGGCGCCAAAACATTTTAGCTACGCCTCAATCACGCGCTTGAACCGTAGGCACCACCTAACCCTAGATACTTGCCTAACCCCCCAACCCCTCGCAGAGACATCACTTTTTTTCTATCTTATAATATTATATACATTTTTTTAAATATTATTATTATTATTGTTATTGGAACGGATGGCATGCAAACCAGAAAACTGTGCCTCGGGCCGTAACCCAACCCTCTAGCGCGATGGACTGCTGCTGGCAGGGTGAGCGGGAAGGGAAGGGAGGGGGGGAGGTAGATAAGAAGTTAGGGAGACAGGCAGGCTGGCAGGCTGGCAGGCAGGCAGTCAGTCGTCTTCGAAGAGCAGCACAGCAATCCACAATTGCACAAATTATCACGCCAAATAACAAGAAACTTGCCTCAGTGTGGCACACCCGCCACCACCAACGAACAAAACTGCCTGCCAGTCAGTCCGCCAGTCAGTCAGCCAGTCAGTCAGCCACCTACCCCCCTAGCCTTTTGGACATACAACACTGCTAAATAGCAGCTAATTTCCTATGATAAATTGGGCATATCACAAAGCTCTCAGAAGGAACGTTCACGTCCCCGTCACTGCTGTTGGTGACGAGGACAACGACGAAAGACTACCTCGACTACTGACCGACCCTCATCAACTCTCCGGTGCGCCCGAAGTTAAGCTCAAGTGGTGTAAGTAAACACTGCGCTACCATCGACCATCACCATCGGCATCAGCATCAGCAGCTATCATCATTGTCACATGCGCCTAAGCATGAAAGCTACCTGTGCCTAGCCCTAGCCATCGCCATAGCCATAGGCATAGGCCTTGCTATATAGCCCTCACCCCTGGCCATGCCTAAGCCGCAGTCTCAGACTTTGGTGGCCACGGTGTCAGGCCAACCCCCGATCGCCAAAAATTGATATACTCGGCCATTAGGCTGAAGTTGCCTCATGCTGCGTGTGACAAGAGGTTGCCTCTCCTTCGTCTTGTTGCTTGTTCCCTTGCCACCTCTTCTTCTACTACTTCTACTGCTGCTTCTCCCGCCGCACATCCTTGGCTAGATCAGTGTATTTCAGATGGTATCTGAATCTGAGCATAAGCTTTGTGCTTTGTACCTGGCAGGCCCACCAAATACAAAACATTTATCTGCTTGTCGCAATTGAAGGGCTGGACGGGGTGATGGGGTGCTGGGGTGGACAGGCAGGGGTGTCTAAAATCTTAGATAGATACTGACTGATTTCAGAAGTTTCCAACTCCAAGCGAATAAATGTTGAACATATTCATTTATAATTGATCAAAAGATACAAAAAAGTAGCATCAGGCAACACTTATTAACTTTCAAAGAGACATACTATATAGAGAGAGGTATATTTAAGACCATTCCCAGCTTCGAACACCCCCTCATAATTATTTTCTTACCTCTCTATTTATCGACAAACAAGAAACAAGAAGAAAATGGAAATCAAACCATTAAAGACTTGTCTGCTATTCTGTTCAGGCATTTCCGAACTAGATCCGAATACTGAGCTGTTAATTCAGGGTTTTGCTAAAAGGTATTGTAATTTCTTCTGAGAAGTTCAGAATCTGTAAAATTTAGTGCCAAATTTAACAGAATTGATCATATTAGCAAATTCTTTGGGACTTCAAAAACTTCAAGCATTTGATGTTTTTAAAAGCAATTCTGAATTATGAAAAAGTATACGTAAACATTCATATTTTTCTTGGCAAGATATGTGGAATTGAAATGAGCAAATTGCCCAAATATCGAACGATTAAATTTCGAAATTGAATAGGTAGCTTTTGGAAAATAATGGAGCAATAGCTGGAACGCAACACGTATAACTCAATCGAAATTATGGCATAAATTGTAATTCCACAGGATTTGATTCGAAAACAGGGGCTATTAATTAAATTGTAAAGTAAATTGTTGTTTAATGAAATGGAAACACATTTGTTCTGTACTTTACAGAAAACTCGCATTCCACTTTTTATTTTTCAATAGTAAATCATAAAATTAAAATTTTATTTACATTATGTATGACATATTTTTGGAATCCTGCCCATTATTATTATTTTTCAATCAGAATTTAGACAATTTGAGCGAAACTGTTAAAGCGCCTTGCCCTCATTTATCCTTGGCTGCCTCACAAGCTATGTTTCCGCATACATTCGCGTCCTCGTGCATTTAGAGAGGAGCGAGCTCCCTTCGTTCTGTATCTGCGGAACCCTGGCGTATACGCAATACGAAACGGTGTTAAGCCGCTTGTTGCAACAACGGCTAAGCCGGGCACCAACCGCGCAATCGCGCAGCGGGGTTCTTGATTCAAAAGCTGCGATACAATGAGAGCAACAGCGGCAGCGCATTTGTGAAAGAAAACTAAATATGAAAAAAGGAAAAGAAAAAAAAACTATTAATTTCTAAAAAGGAAGGCAAAGCAAAACAAAACAACAAAGTATCTCACACGAAAGGAATCTTTTTCTGTAGCACTCTTTTAATCCGGCAAAGAAAACATGCCGCTGCAACGCAGAGAAGACAGCTCGCTTCTGCTCCTGCTCCTGTTTGCCAGGAGCTAAAGAAACTGCTTAGAAAATCCCAAAAGGGTTGCAGCGCCTTCCTATCGTTCTTCCTTGAGTTCCTGCTGTTGTGCTGTGCGATCAGGTTTCGAGGCTGGCTGAGTTGGCGGCGTTGGTCATTTCATTTGTGTGTGTGTGTGTTTGAGGAAAAAGCTTAGCTAAGGTTTCCCCTTCTCGTCCTGCCCGTGCTTGCCCTTCTTCTTCTTCTTCCTCGCTTTGGAAACGAGTTTCTCACATTTCCGTGGCATCCAGCGCCGCTCCTGTTCTGTTCTGTTCTGTTCGCCATCGCCATCGCCTTTTTTTCGCGTTGAACATTTTTAATTATACGAAAGATTCCAAGGTTCGCCTCGACGCCTATCTTCTAATATTTGTTCACTTACCAGGGCCGCTCCTGTTGGTCAGCGTTTGCCAATTTGTCGTGCCAGCAGGCGAGCTGGCTAGATGGCTAGCATGCCTAGCAAGGGTGAGATTGCCACTGGCTCTCTAATCAACATGCAACATGAGGCATATACTCTTCCCTCCCTTATCCTCCCCTCCCCTCCCCTCCCGCCCATTCTCGTTTCTGTATTCTGTTTTTTTTTTTTTGTATTTTTTTGGCTCTTTGTGCTTTTTCTTCAACCTTGTATCTCTTTGTATCTTTGTGCCACTTATGCGCTTGTTAGCCTCCAGTAGGGTCGTCGGCGACGTCGTCTAATCTCGCCGTCGAGATCAACTGCTTCCAGACTCACTCGCAAGCTCGCTCGCTCGCTCATATTTGATTCCCATCGATTATCAACTAGGAGCTGGAGCTGCCGTCGTCATCACATCCTCTTCATAGTCCTCCATAGTAGAAGGTAACTTTTTTGATTGACAGTCAAATTAGTAAGCGCAAAAAGTTATGAGCAGCGTGCGACGCGAGGGACTCTGTAGCTGCCACTGAAATGGCAGCATCGTGCAACGAGCATCGAGAAGTTTAGGGTAGATTAGATTTACCGCATTAACTGATGTTTATCATCGCCAGTTCCCAACTGTGTGGCCATTATTCCTGCCAACTACTTGTTTCCCATCTATTTCTCATATACAAGTATATGGTATACTCCTCAGTGGGTCTTTAATCGAAGTAGATTTTGCAAATAATTCCCTATCCACAGAAGAATACTGGGAAGCTGACACTGAACCTGTGACCATTCCTTCCAACTACTCGTGTCGTCTTTATGGGGTTTTCATTTTTCATCTACTTCCCAAATATATTGCATATACATACATATATTGAATTGATCTTTAATCGAAGTAGATTCCATCCATACCTGAGCAATGGAACATTAATGATGACAATTCTCGAAATTCTCTATGAGCAGACTGCTGAAAAACTTATGCCTCAATCGGAGGCATAGTCTTCAATGCTTTGCAGTCTCTCCTAAATATGTAAAATGTTTATATTGTTAGCTTTTTGAAGGCGATCATCTGTTTAAAGAAAAACTTCGAAACATAGGGCATGTTTAAAGATTTCTTTCGCAGTCGCTAGTCTCCACAATAAGTAGCCATCGAATAATTGATTTG